ATTTTATCCTTGCTGAGCATGAAACTCATGCAGGGTTTCAGGGAAATCATACAGCGAGTACTGTGTTATTGTAGCACTGTGAGCTGTATGAAGTCTAACCACTGTGCAGAGAAAGAATCCACTGAAGAGCCTGGAACGCATACTGGCCTTTGTATTTTTAGTCCGATTTCAAGGGGGCTCAATGCCCTGTCATTCACACTGGGAGAAATCTTGGGACACAGCTGTCAATCAATGCAAGTGGCCGAGGAGAGTTGATAGAGTAGTATGCACCAGCATAACTGAGATCACACTCACAACTGAGGGCTGTACCCTGGCATACTTTCCTATTCAAAGTCCAACAAGTGCCAGCAGAAATGCGTGGACCCCATACAAGATTTACAGCCTTCAGTTGCATATTTAGGGGAGTTCTGACTCTCCCGTAATGAATGGTATGTGATACCTAGATTTGTGTGTGCAGTCCTCAGGTTGCAGCTCATAGTTCAGGGTTTTAATTTTTTTCCCCATGCGTCTCAGCTTTGCTGGTTGCCACATGGGACCAAGAAGGATTTTTTCTCCTCTTGGCAAATCTGAACCTGCAGCGTAAAGGTGTGAATGGCTGATTGCTTGGACCTCAACCCAGATGGCTAGCAGAACAGATTCAAGGCACGGTCCAGCCTGAAAGCACCAGCCCAAGCCTGCTTCAGAAAGTAAAATGTTACTCAAGTCCCATGTCACAAGACTCCACTGATTTGCCCCTGTCAAACATTAATGGCGGTCGTTAACACCGTACTTCCTTATTTTAAAACCAAACATGCTCTGTTCTCCTGCACAATAGTTGTGTCTATGGATTGCCTTAGGCGGGAGCTGAGTGAGATATGGTGAAATCTGTGTGAAATTTGTTGTGTTCAAAGACACGGGAAGATCATGGAAGTGAACCTTGGATCCAGCATCTGGGAACCAAGGGCCTAACAGCTGCTGGAAAGTTTCCTGAACCAGTCCTGCTCCTACATGGACTTAATAAAGGTCTTTCCACTTACTTACCACTTTTAGTGATTATAGTTAGATGGTCACTGTGTAGATTTGGATTCTCTCTCCTCAGAGCCATGAAAACTGATTGGAAGCTCTCCTGTTGAGTGATTGAGAGCTGGATTCGCAAAGGGGACTTCCTCCCAAAATACAGACGCTCAAAGCCCAGATAGCTGGACATGCACAGAACTGCTGAAGTCCTGACAGTGCCAAGCTGCTCAGTACCTACCTTACACCTATGTGGGATTTGCAAGCTAATAATTTTTCAGTGGGGCCTGAGCTGGGAGGTGTGCACTCCCAGCCCTACACAAAATACACACAAAATGCATCCTCTAACCCTCTAGAATGGGGCCCACAGGCCAGATCCAGCTTGTTGCATCATGTCATTTGGCCTGTAGGGCTCCCCGTGGCTGCAGAAATTTAGCAGGCATGGGAACAGTGGCCAAACCTGTGGACCCATGGGGTTCTACAAGCCCTCTGCACAGAATCTGGAATCTGATCCCAGCATGCAGGGGGTTAGAAGTGGTGGTGCTGGGGGTCCAGGGTCTGATCCAGTCCACAGGCGGGCTTTGCACCACTCTTCTGGCCCATGGGACCAAAAGTTTGAGCACCACTGCTCAAGAACAATGGTTAGAGCATGGGCTGTGGGGAGACCCAGGTCCCTTGAACAGTTTCAGAGACGTGGGCTCGAGTCCAGCCTCTGAAGGTGCATCCAACTACAGGTTGAGTATGTATGATCAAGTGGGTTTTGGTCCCATCTGTGGAAGCTGTTGCACTTTTCATAGAATGAGTAATAGAGGAGAGAAAGGACTGAGACTTCCATAGCCACAGATGATAGAGTCCTGCTGTCTATAGAAGTTAGGTGTTGCACTACTGAGTCCAAGGGGATGGGCACACCAAGAAAAGGAGGGTGCTGCTACACTATGCAGCACTTGCTCCAGAATAACTCAATGTCAGAAGATTAAGCTGCTGAAGGTCAGGTACCATGGGGTCAGGTCAAGCTTATGAGTTAGTTATGAAGCAATAAGAATGCCTGGTACAATCCCCATCCCCTCTTACCTCGTTGTCACTTGTCGGTGTGCCTGTGCCCCTCATTCATTGGTGAATTAAGTTACCTTCTATGAGACCTTCAGATCTGTCCCAGCACTCTGGGCATCTGAGTTTGCTGCTGGCTCAGGCTGCTCCTTGGAGCTAGTCTTGCCTCTGCACAAGAGCATAGATGTACAGCTCTTGGGATGAGCTGCTTCCTCAGGGTGCTCCTTGCTCAATGGATGGCACATATAGGTGAACAGCTGGTCTGCTTTATGCCTGGATCGTTCCAGTTCACTCCCTGGCTTGACCACAGACTTCCTGCAAAACCTCTGCATTATTCTGCTGCTCTGTAATGCAGATTCCTGTTAGCAACACGCCTTTCCTCCTTCCCTTGTCTCTCATACAAGTTTAGAGTGTTACACTGTTAGGGCAAGCTCTGACTTTGGATTCTGGCTCTTAAGAAGAAACACCTCAAGGCACCCAGCAACTACCACTCAGAGAAAAAAAAATCTACATTGGCTTGCAGGCAGAAAAACTTAGTTTCATGTGGTTTGCAGAGGGCCCATGGCACCTTTATTAGCCCCACAGCACACAGGGCTGGTACAGGACTAATTCAGGTCCTTGGAGTGGTGGATTCTGGCCCCATCCTGGGCGGAGTGAGCAGCTGCACAAATGGAAAGATCAATGGTCACGTCCCAGAATCTCTGAGCAGGGAAGAAACAGGACCGTGCCCTTTCCTAACAAGCCGAAACGTGACCAGGCTCCTCTGCTCTTCTCATAGAGGTTTAACATAAGGAGCTGTGTCTAGCCCAACTGTGCGGTGGAAGGAATTGTAATAACATGCTCCGAGGAGGAAAGTGAAGCTGTATACTGTGTGCAAAAGCACTCAAGCCAACCTGTCAGAGTAGTCTGAGCGAGGACCTGGTAACTGTATGAGACCAGTATCACTTGCAGGGGAGGGAATAGGGGGAAGGGAATGCAATGTTAAGAAAGATATGGCTGAATTGGAGCCCCTCCAGAAGAAAGCAATAAAAATGATCAGAGAGTTGGATAACAGGGCCTGGGAGGAAATGTTGAAAGAACTGGGTTTGTTTAGTCCAGAGAAAAGCCAATGGAAGGGAGGTATGGCACCACTCTTCAAATACATAAAAGGGGGTGGCATAGAGCAAGGTTATAAACTTTTTTTTTTGTCCCTTGGCATCATGCCCAAACAAGAAGTGATGGGTTTACACCTGGAGAGATTCAAGTTAGTTCTTAGGAACAAAAAAGCTTCTTAGCTGTAAGGCTAGTTCAGTGGAGGACACCTTTTTAGACTCAAGGCATCCTCCATAACTGTGGCCCCCTGGTTGGGCATCACTGGGTGAGCTGATTTAGGGAGGCAGTGGCATCTCTGTCACTGGAGATGTATCTAAAAGCAGGTTGGACAAGAATCTGTTGGGAATGCTTTAGGCATAGTTGATAATCCCTTGGGGGCAGGCGGATGGGCTAGCTGACCTTGTGAGATCCCTTCCGGCACAGTTTTCTGTAAGGGTGGAATAAGGGGAAACATACAGAACAAGGAGCAATGGTCTCAAGTTGCAGCGGGGGAATTTCCTTTCACGAGGAGGGTAATAAAGCACCAGAACAGGTCACCAGAGAGCTTGTGGACTTTCCATCCTTGGAGCTTTTTAAGATCCAGATATACAAAGCCTTGTGTGGAATGATTTAATTGGGGATGGTCCCACTTTGAGCAGGGGGTTGGACTAGGTGACCTCCTGAGGTCCCTTCCAACCCTAATTTTCTATGATTCACACTCAAAGCAATTTCAGACTGCCTGAAACTGGACATGTAATCGTAGCATCATGTAACAGCCGACTGCCTACCTTGTCTCCACGGGCAGGGGGGAGCTGTAGTCTTGTGCACTGCTCCCAGCACTGACATGGCAGGGACTTGGGTTTAGGTCCCAGCACTGCCAGAGTGTGTGACCTCCTGTAAGTCACTTCAGCCTAGATCTGGCAAGGTTTTAGGTGCATTCTTCTGTAGGATTGAAATGAGCCTGGTGACTACCAAGAGGACAATTCTTCCTCTGTCTCTCCGGAAACATTACCCTTGGCAGGGCTATCAAACACCTGTGCACTGTCTGGCAGGGAAAGTTTAGCAGGACATAAAGCTTGAATCAATAAGCCAGAACTCCAGGCTTCTGAGGCAGAGAAATCCTGAAAGATTAACTCTTTGCTATTCTGTTTGTCATCAGAGAGCATTTCCTGCCCATGCTAAACAGCTGCAAGCACATCAGGAGAGCAGTAGAACCAGTGAGGGGCTCTAGATGAGCATTTTGAGGACTAGTGAGCAGTGAACCTAGCTGGATTTTATGCTGTCTTTTTTTGGTTCTGTATCATTGTGCTTCCATGGGACTGCTCCCAAGCTTATAGTTAGGCATGTGTTGAAGTGGATGTGGGCCGCAGTCCCCCCGAAATGCCTGTGCTCTAGAATTATCCCGTCTTCCACATCTCTCCTGGCTTTTCACTGTAGATCATACGCCCATGTCCCACTTGGCACCGTTCCTCTGGGCTGTCCCTCCCTGCCTGAGGCATCTTGCTGCAGTAAGGTGAGCTGCTCCCTGGATCAGTGATCTGTGGGGTGGAGAAGACAGTATACTAAATGCATTCAGCCCTGATGTCTGCAAATCTGCAGCAAGTGAAGGCAGGATTTCAGACCTGAATTCAGCCACCTAGGAGGAGCTGTCAGGCTGAGCGGAGCTTCATTTAAAATGCTTAATTTAGAAAAATGCTTGGAAAGTGATATCAGCTGGGTGGGCAGGAAAGTGAAAATTAGCCACAGAGGGGCAGATTGCGTCTCAAGAAAGTATGCCAGCCACAACTTTGCAGGTGGGAAGGACTTAAACTATGCCTGGATGGCACATTTCCCCCTCACCCCTCCTTCCTAAGTATGTCTTGCTGAATGGCTGCCTTTTCTTTTCCCAGATCTGGATGTACAATGAAGATCACGAGCTAATCTTAAATAATCTCCTCTGCTTGGATGTGTCGGAAACTCGCTCCTCAGATCCGCCCCGCCTCATGAAATGCCATGGCTCCGGAGGGTCTCAGCAGTGGACGTTTGGGGTGAGCACTCTGCAGCAGGGGGTTATGTGTGTCTGTGTCTATGGTTGAGGTCCAGGGCTATGCTGACAAACCTTGATCAGGGTGACGTTAGGGGGGCTCCCAGGGACTTGGTTTCAATATCAAATACGGTCAGTTTAGCTTGGCAGTCTGTAGTGGTGCAAGTCACAATGCAGCATGTTTCTTTGGCATCTGAACTGCAAATGCAGACAAGTCATGAGCTGGGCTGTAAATCCCACTGATTCCTTCTCCTTTACACGCATCCGCAGCTGAGTTAATTGTTCTTTACCCAAGGTAGCTTTGTTTTTATCGCTGGAAAGTATTGGGTGTGACTGGAGGGTAGAGACAGATGTCACCTTACATCACATTTCTAGCACCGTAGAATTTCTTATGGAGGCACAGACAGCGAGCAAATGGACATCTCTACAGCGCTGGGGTGCAATAGAGGCAATGTTAAATAGGGCCACTTTATTGTGGTCAGGACATCTGTTTGGTCTATGGCAGGAGAGCGAGCAGCCCAGAGCTGCCTGCACTCTCCAGTTGCCTCGGGCAGGTGCTCTGGGGGCCTGATCCTGTGAACCTTGGGAATTTCCACTAAGGATCAGGGCTCTCAAGCCCGTGGAGCACCTGCTGGTTTCTCCTGGTTGTATAGACATCTCCTAGGGAATCTCAGGGCACCTCTCTGTAAGCAGGAAAATCCAGGGTTCTGCACTTATGGAGACCTACCCTGGGATGTTCACTGATGTGTCTTTGTAAGTGGAAAACACCTGTGCAAATCCTGGCGTGGAGGCAGAGAATCCCCCTGGCACCGTTTCTCCATGCCAGGACCTGCACAGCCCCTTGCCTCCGTGCTGGGACCAGTGCCAAGTCCTATGCCTACCTGTGCTTCACGTGGAGGCATGGGTCAGCATGTAGGCACAGGGTGCTGAAGAATCCTTGGGTCCCTCCCTGACCATGGCCTCTGCATGAGCCATGGGTTGCAGCTAGGAGGCAGGAGGAAGAGGGGAACGTGGTGAATCCCTGGGCAAGGGCACATGTTGCCTGTTGGTACACATCATGCCCCTGCCCAATGTGGGGCAATGGATGATGTGTCTTTTGCCCAGTAAAGTGGAGCTGCTGTGGCAAGATGCGATCCCGCACAACTTGATCTGCTTTGTTTAGTGATGTCAGTTTGTGCCCTGGAGTTCAGTACAGCGTCCAGCCCTCGATGTCTTGCTGTGTTGGCTGCACTGAATCACCTACCTAGGTTTAGGCCTGATCCCCTTATGGGATCTACCTCTTGCCAGAAGCCCATCTTCTCTGATGCCTGAACATTAGGCACTAATGCTGCTGCATCTAGTACATGCACAGGAAAATGCCAGCTGAGCACATGCCTGAGTGTAGAGTGGGGCTTGTTTAATGCCATGTCACTGCTGAGTCTCACGTTTCAGGTGTTCTGCCGGGACAGAAGCTATTCAGGGATCTAAGCTTTGGTCCAGTGCTGTAAGCCAGGTGATAGGATGTGCCATGCCCTTCAGTGTACAGGGGACAACCAGCTTGCAGCTGAGCACACTTTCTTTGCTGTAGGTACAGTGTGCAACTCCCATAGACCTGAGTGACCATCCAAACCACGCATGGCTTTAAAATAGAGTCCAGTCCTGGGGCACCAGTATCATGTAGTTCAGGGGTGGGCCAGATGCGGCCTGCCAGGTCATTCTATATGGCCTGTGGAGCCCCTAAAATATTTAGAAAATTAGTATTTATCTGCCCCTGGCTGCTTGTCATGCAGCCCTTGATGGCTCGTCAAAACTCAGTAAGTGGCCCTTTGCCCAAAATAATTGCCTGCCCCGGATGTAGTTATTGTTGCATTTTTCTCTTCTCTCCAGAAGAACAATCGACTCTACCAGGTCTCCGTGGGGCAGTGCATGAAAGTTGTTGATCCACTGAGCCATAAAGGGTACGTGACCATGGCTATCTGTGATGGCTCCCTTCCTCAGCAATGGCATTTGGAGAGCTGACAAGCCAGCGGCCCAGAGATGCTATTTGCGAAGATGAGTCTATACCTTCAGCTGTTGGTTTCCAAGCGATTCTAGAGGGCTCGCAAGGAGCCCTTGGCTGCTATCCCTGACGCAAACTGGATTGTGTTACATCAGTATTTTGCCCCATAGACCTGTGTGCTTGAGGAGACTCAGATGGACGGCTGAACTGGACTGGCCAGATGCAGCAGCTGTCTGGCTACAGAATCCCAACCCCTGTAGAAGTGCAATTTATCACCAGCTCCGCAGATTAGCCTGGATCCTTGAGCTGTGCTGATGTAAGAGGAAATAATTAGAGCTGTATAATTTGAATTGTGGTAAGATTTTAACTCTGCGGACCTTTGTCATGACTGTGATGGGACAGAAGTTCCCCTTGCACATTTCACATGCAGCAGCATGTCAGTTCACAATGTCCATCTGTTTGAATTATTTCACCTCATCTGGAATATTTTTGATTCTTTTTATCTCCTGAAAATTGCCACTTGTAATATTTAAATTTTAGTTCCTTTAATATGCAGTTCTAGTACGTTTCCCATAGGTACTTTTTGCTGTCAGTTATCATGCAGGATTGAAAACAGGTGATGTCTGTGCTGATAGCTGGGGCTGACCATAAGGTGTTCCTCGAGCCCCTTAATCCTGGAAGCCGCTGAGCCAAGTCCCTTGAGGTTGTCCAGCTTGACCCTGGAAGCTCTGTTGAATTTCTGGCTAAGAGACAGAGCCCACTTTTGCTGTCCTCGGAGCCCTTTTGTTTGGCAGCACATTTAGAACTCGATCTGCACTGCTGAAAGCCTTGAGTGCAGCACATCTGCCAGCAGCAACCCTACAACTCCACGCAGAGAGACAAGAAGTCTGCAAACATGCTCCTAGAAGGTGCAGAGTCTGATATGATAAAACTGAGGAAAGGAAGCTGAGAGTCACCTTGATGTCATCCTTAGTATTGGTGTAGACTCACCCAGACTTACTATTGCAAACGTCATTTCACCGATTCATGACAGCATCTACATTTAAAATAAAGTATTCCAGTTTTTTAATAAAATCGGCATTGCTGTGTGGTCTGTGGTCTTGGGGTTCAAAAGTGTGGACTGCAAGAGATGGATGGAAACCAAGTCTAAGTAACTTGGCCTGTGCCAATTAGGATACCTTTGTCCAAGAGATTGAAACGGGCAGTTTTGGAAAGCTGCTTGAAGGGAGAAGGGAAGAGAGGCACAGAGATATGCTAAGGGACTTGCCCAACGTTACAAAGGGAATCTGTAACAAACACAGACTCCTGAGTTTTGATCAGCACCTTGACTCCAAAACTATCCCTTTTCCTTTCTCCAAGTACCTTCCCCCTCCCTCAACCTGCATCCTCCTTCCCTATTTCCTCTTTATTTTGACCTGTGTTGAGCTAGAGCCCACCACAGTGACACCTCTCCCCTGTCCCATTATTGAAGCATGGCTGGATTAGTATGAAATCTGAGGTGCAACTAATAGATTTCACTGCCATAAGACACCTGCAGATCTTCAATGAAGCAGCAGCCTTCAGGAGAACCTGGGCATCAGAGTGACATTGTCATTATTGAATAGTTATGGTCAGTATTGACCCCGTGCACCACAATGACACCTGCTTATCAGCTTGATGAATACTGTAGTGCCGATTTAATTATCCAGCCAATGGCTATGCCTGGATTTCACTAATGTAAAATAAAATTTCAACTAATTCAAGGCTTGTTCCATCAGTAACTCCCTTCTCTGTGTGTTAGCAGGTAGTGGGTTCAAGTTCCACACTTCCAAGATCATAACTCCTCTTACCTAGATTACAGGTGAACTTGTAAGTTGGCTACTGATAAAAAGAGGCAAGAGACAGGTCTACAGCCAAGCCTGTTATTGCTTGCACCCCAAAACACAAAACCCAACACTCAACCCAGTCCATCTGGCCACTCATGACAGGACAATATAGATTCTTACCTATACTGGCTGGAGACAAGAGGGAGAGAGGGTGGCAAGCAGGCTGGCTATAGGTCATATTGACATTGCTGAGTTCTCCAAATTTCTATCTAGTTTACACCTTTATTCTAATATTCTAATAAATCTGCTCAGATTGGTTTAATTTAAAACCTGTTTAGCTGAAACTTTTGGGATTGGACTGAACCAGTTCTCTTGTGACGTTGGAAAGCGTCAGTTAGTTGGTATTTATGTCCTTGGGAAAGTAGACATAAGAAGAGAGTTTCTTATCTTCTTCCTTCAACAACCATGAAGGTTGTTTGCCACCATCCCGTCAGCTCGTCGCCTCAGCTTAAGATTTTTACTGACAAGGACTGCTTTATTTTTACAACACATCCAAGAAACTTAACCAAAATGCAGGTACTGGAGAACACCAGCATTTAATACATTTGGTTACATCAATCACTACCACTAGCATTTTAAGATAAAGCTGTGATACTGTATGTGGATTATCTAATTCAAGGTGGTCTTTTACAAGTGTCCTTGCAGGTCTTGTGCTCTGTTTAACTGTATTACTGCTTTAGCTGGCTATATTGATGGCTTTCTTTCCTCTGCTGACCAAGCTGGTTGTCACCTCCACAAAGCTTTACTTTGTGGTCACTCAGAAACAGGCTTTGGGGCCCTCTGCTATAGCTACAGCTTGGTATAGGCACCTTGAAAATGCCCAAGACTCCCAAAATGCCCAAAGGAGAAAGTGCCACTGACACAAACGTTAAATGATCACCTTGTTCTCACCGTCTCAGTCTGTGCCACTCTGGTTGACCTTTCATTACCCTACAAAGCCTGATGCACCTTCTTCCACCCTGGAAGTTTGCTGCTTCCCTTTTTTTCCTTTGCTGCCTTCCTACTTCATTTTACTGCCTCCCGTGTCCTGGCTTCCACGAACGTAAAGTTTTTTTTAGAGGCTGGGATCTGTCACATCAGGAATGAGAAATTTCTTCCCTGATGATTTTTTTTCTCATTAGCAACTTCTCTTCTCATTCTTCTCTAATGGGGGGGCCACCTCTCGCTGCCAGGACTTGCCGTCAGCACATTTCAGCACAGGCCACCAGAGAAGTTCTCCCAACGCTGCAGTTCTACTCCGGCAAGCAATTATTGGCATTCAGACAACAACTTGATACACATAATTATAACGTCCAAGTAATTATGGATCCAGGGCTGCTGGTAGGAGAACAGTTCAATTGCGACAATGCGGTCATTTACCAGAGCATCAGGGTGAGCTGAACGAGGAGAGAAGCTGCTAACAGAAGAAAATGATCAGGTAAGAAATTTCTCATTCTGCAGCACAGCTGCTCCCCTCATTCCTCACTAATGGGAAGCAGTGAGCGCTGACTCAGAGGGAGAGGGGAAAGGTGAAGTGGAGTTTTAATTATTACTACAGAAGTATAATTGGCAGAAACAGACATTTCCCTCCTAGTACAGGATCCTTGCAATAAGGACTAATATGGAAATTTGTCTTCCAAAGTGCATATGCCGCTTTGTGAACCTTCCTGAGCTGTAGCAAGTATAAGGGTCTAAGACAGTGGATCTCTAACATGATGCCTTGGCACGCTGGAGTGCCATGAGATACTATGCACGATTCACAAGATAAACCCAGAGATTTCACACTGGAATTGATAGCGTCAAAAGCACGCTTACCTGTTGTGGTCTTCCTGAGATCTCTACAGAAGAAGTGATCTAGTTTTACACAGTCAAAAAAACCAAAACAAAACCTGGGATTTTCCCAGGGGGTGGCTTAAGGCTGACAAGGTTGATAATCACTGGCCTAGGGTGAGAATTGTGCTGGCTTTCTCTGTGTTATCTACACCACACTGTCACCAAATGACCAGCAGATATGAATGTAGACCAACCCCTTTTGCATGGCATCAGGGAAGTGGTTCTGTAGGCTCAGGTTGTATTTTGAGACAAGAATCTGTCAGGCTTTGGCCTGAGTCATTACACCAGCAATACAAAGGGTTTAGACACAAGAGGTCTAATGACCTTTAGACACAACAGGTCATTTAACCTTTGTTAGCCTGTGGATTTTGTGTAACTATTGAAAAAACATATATGGCGTTTGTGAGAAGCTTCTCAGGCTCGAAGGGATCTCAGGTGGTTATCTACTCCAGCCCGGTGCTCAGGCCAGGATCATCCCCGTCTGAACCATTCCAGAGAAGTATTTGTCCAAACTCTCTTTCAGACCTCCCAAGGATATCCATCCACAGCCTCTCTAGGTGCCTGGTCCAATATTTGACCACCCTCTTAATCTCCAGCCTGAATTTCCTTTGAGCAGTGATTTGATTTGCCAGTTCTGCCAACGAGGTGGAGGCCTCTGCATCCTCAATGACTAGTTTCTCTGAAGTCTCCCCCAACAGCTTGTTTCTAAATCTGAGGTATTTGTTCACGACGACTGGTTGCTACTCATAGGTGCAACACGGCTCTCTTGTAGGCGCTGCTTTAGGAGCCTTTGGTGTTGTCACAAGAACGTTACGGATTGGACCACAGAAGAGAGTCCAGAGTCTCTTACTGCAACAAGGACAATAACCTTGCCAATGAGCCACCCACTGGCTACCTAGTACTTTTACCTTCATTAAACACTTGAAAATGTATGGCTGCTCGTGGAGTCCGTGGCATCTCCGTATCGCCTCTTGTCTATGCTCTTAGGACTTTCTGGAAAGAAACTTCCTTCTGATGTAACTGTGGCTCTTGCTAGTGGGGCGACTGCTGCATGAACCTTGGGCTGTCCAAGTGATGAAACTCCTGTGTGTGTTCAACACAGCATTTTAGTTGTAACCTTTCATTTTGTTCGCAGGACTCTCCCTGGATGTTTGCAGGTACGAAGTAGCACACTTTGTCCCTACCTGGGGACCCCCTACAAGGGCTACAGGTTCAAACACCTTGACTGTGGGAGTCGCGTGTTGGAAAATCTGAACTCCCAAGCTGCGCCACTGCCGGAGGGCAGAGGCTCTGCAAACCTTCGGCTGAAAGGCACGCTTAGTTGTGGGAGGCTAAAGGTGTCCGGATTCCATGGCTAGGAGACATTATCCATTAGCGAGGGGCGAGGACAAGAGCTCTGGGACTTCTTTCTCCTGCTGCTTCCAACTGCGGTGAACAGTGTCACTTCCAAAATCCAGCTGAACAGAAGAGACTGCTGAGGAGTAAGGACCAGCTGCTTGTGGAGAAGGTTCCCGGAAAAGCAGTGGCCCTACAGCGCATGCTGCTGGCATCCAAATGACCTGTAGCAGCAACATTTCACTACAGCCCAGTGAAGCCCTGGGTTAGCTGCCTGCTCTACATCCACCAGGACGTAAGCGCACCTCAAACGCCAGTGCCACTGCATGGAGAACCAGAAGAGAAGGATTGCAATGCTTTTCGACACACGACGTCTTGGGTCCCTAGTCTGGATGCCTGGGGGAGATACAGATTTGAACGCTGTGAAGGAAGTAGTGCCTAGAAAAATATTTCAATCATTTTCTTGCTTCTGGTTCTCATCAATAGATCTTGCACCCTAGAGAACATTGCTGTGCGGAAAGTAAGGTGAAAGAGGTTCACGTTCCCCGCCTGAGGAGGACTGGTCAAAAAGCTGCTTGGATTTGGGTCCCTTTACTAGACGGCGATTCCTGCTGTTTCTGTTGCTGGTATTTTCTGCACTCTTCTATGGAAGACATCAGCATCAAATGCCCGCACCCAGAAAGTGTCTGGGATTGAGTCCATGGACATGTAGGATTTACTTAAAGATACAGCTAGGTTTAGAAGGAAGCTGACCTTTGGCAATGTGGGTAGTGCCTGGGGGCTCTTTAGTGGTTGAGGTAATCCTGACACCAATGCAAAATGGCTATTCCCAAATGAACTTGTGGAAGCATTGTGTATAGATGTAAAATATTTTTATTTGTAAATGCTGATCTTCTAAATCTGTTTCCACAAATTCCAAAACCCATAACACTCTGTATACTTCAAAAAATTCTTTTTTGCCAACATTAGATACTATTATACAGAACAGAAAAAAAACGGTAGGACAAATACTGGTAGGATGTTGGAATATTGTACAAGAGAAGAAAAATATTCAAGAAACAATT